TGGGGCCCCCTGCTGCTGCAGTGGGGCCCCCTGCTGCTGCAGTGGGGCCCCCTGCTGCTGTAGTGGGGACCCCTGCTGCTATCGTGGGGACCCCTGCTGCTGCTGTGGAGTCTCACAACAGCAGCAGGGGGCCCCACTGCAGCAGCAGGGGCCTCACAGCAGCAGAAGGGGCCCCGCAGCAGCAGCAAAGGAACTAGTCTGGATAGAAGTCCTTGAAAATATATTTAAGGATTAAATTAAATGAAGGCTGAGCCGCTATTTTGTTGCGTTTCAATAGGGTTTAGGGTTTAGGGATTAGTGTTTAGGGTTTAGGATCTGAAGAGTGTCTACGTCCTGTTTTTGTAGCAGCACATTCACCAGTTTTCGCCAAAATTTGTGCGGATAAATCAAATATTTAGGATTTAGGGTTTAAGGTTTAGGGTTTGGGATTTAGGGTTTAGGGTTTGGCAGATCTTCCCAGAGGCTGTGGGGCCCGCCGAAAGCCCCACATGGAGCCTCAAGGGTTTAGGGTTTAGGGTTTAGGGTTTAGGGTTTGGGTGCTGAGTTTCTTCTTTAAAAAATTGAAATAGATCTTTTAATTTGTATACGTCAAACCCTAAACCCTAAACCCTAAACCCTTTTTCGCAGGCAGCAAGCCCGGGGCCCCCCTCTCCTGCAGCCTTCTGGCCCCAGGGGCCCCGGACTCGCTCCCCAACCCTAAACCCTAAACCCTAAACCCTAAACCCTAGGCCTTGCAGCAGATGAGCATTCCACGTGGCGGCCCCCCGGGGGCCCCCAAAGTAAAGCGCGAGGAGGGGCCCCTAGACCCTAAACCCGCTAAAGCAGCAGCAGCAGCAGCAGCAGCAGCGCCAGAAGCAGCAGCAGCAGCAGGAGTTAAGGTGAAGAAGGAAAAAGAGAAGGTTTCTCCGAAGCAAAAGCAGCAGCAGCAGCAGCAGCAGCAGCAGCGGCAGCAGCAGGGTGTTCCCCAGCAGTCAGACCCTCACTCTGGGGGCCCCCTGGGGGCCCCCCAAAAAGAGGGTACAGCAGGGGGCCCCCCGGCTAGAGTCTCTGCGCCTAAAGGGGGCCCCCGGGGGGCCCCCCAGACCCCGGGGGGCCCCCCGGGGGGCCCCCAGGGGGCCCCCAAGACCCAGGGGGCCCCCAAGACCCCTAGGGGCCCCCAAGAGGGCCCCGTTGGGGGCCCCCAGGGGGCCCCCAAGAGGCAAGGGGGGCTCCCTAAAAGCAGCAAAGGAAAAGGGGGCCCCCAGGGGAGCCCCCAGGGGGGCCCCCAGGGTTTGGGGGGCCCCCAGGGGCCCCCAGGGGCCCCGAAAGGGTCTGAAGGGTTTAGCAAAAGGTTTAACACTCCTTTAGTGGTTAAAAATGAAATGGAAATTGAGGGTTTAGAGTCTGATGACGAAGAAGACTTAAATAGAATTGGAGATGTGCCTTTGTGGTGGTATGACAAGTACAAACATATAGGTAAACCCTAAACCCTAAACCCTAAACCCTAGTGGTGAAGCCCCAGCGCTTCACCAGTGCAGGCGCGGGCGTAAACCCTAAACCCTAGTTGGGGGGACCTAAACCCTAAACCCTCGCTAGGTGCTGGGTAGTAGCAGCGGGGCCGCAGCAGCGCCAAACCCTAAACCCTAAACCCTAAACCCTCGTTTTTGCAGGCTACGACGCTGAGGGTCGGAGAATCGAAAGAGACAAAACCCTAGAAAAGGGAGTTTTAAATGAACTTCTGGAATCTGAAAAAGGAGACAAATGGAGACAAGTCAAAGACATCCGAAACAACAGAGTTGTCACGCTCACCGACACAGACGTGCAGGTGCTGCTGCTGCTGCGGCTGCTGCTGCTGCTGGTTTTGCTGCTGCTGCTGGTTTTGCTGCTGCTGGTTTTGCTGCTGCTAGTGGTGCTGCTGCTCCTACTGCTTGGGCCGTGGTTGCTGCTTGGCTGCGCTTGCTGCTCCTAATGTTGCTGCTGCTGCTGCAGCGGTTGCTGCTGCTGCTGCTTCGGTTGCTTCGTCTGCTGCTGCTGCTGCTGCTTCGGTTGCTTCCTCTGCTGCTGTTGCTGCTGCTGCTTCGGGGCTAACGGACTGGTTGTGTCTGCTTCTGAGTCTGGCATCATTTATTTGAATAAACAATTTATTTGTTTATTTATTTATATTTATTTATTTATTCATTTATTTATTTATTTGTTTGCATGCAGATTATAGACCGCGTGCTGCGGCGGCAATTTCCTGATGCCAATTTTAATGATGAAGAAGAGTGGATAGAAGAAGACAGAACAGACAGGTGAGGGTTTAGGGTTTAGGGTTTAGGGTTTAGGGTTTGGACTTTGGGCGTGTTTCTTGAGCGTATGTCATTTTTGCCTGTCGACCGTGTAGGGTTTAGGGTTTAGGGTTTGAAGCTGGAGCGGGCTTCTAACTTGTGTGTTTGACACTCATCTAGGGTTTAGGGTTTAGGGTTTAGGTTTTAGGGTTTAGACTTTGGCTCCCAATCGCACAACCTTTGCCCCAAAAATGTCCCTCCATTTTCCGTCTACCTTTTGTATCTCCAGGACTTGGGGCTCACGGCCTAGGGTTTAGGGTTTACGGTTTACGGTTTACGGTTTAGGGTTTAGGGTTTAGGGTTTGCGCGCAGCATTTTCCCAATGAAGAGCCTGCCGCCTCGAAAGGCTGCGTTTGTTCCTTCTGCATTTGAACAAAAGAAAATAAATAATTATATTAAAATGATTCGATTAGGAAAATTAATAAGACCCTTGCCAAAACCCTCGCAAGAAACCCTTCTTCAGGACCTCTGGGGGCCCCAAACCCTAAACCCTAAACCCTCGAAACACCCATCCTACCTCGCCCCCAAACTCCCCCTTCCCGGACACGCAGAAAGCTACAACCCCCCTGAAGAGTACCTCTTCACCCCTGAGGTAGGGTTTAGGGTTTAGGGTTTAGGGTTTGCTATTAAGAAGAAACATAGTGGCAGCGTCTGCCCAGAGGAGGTTTTAGGGTTTAGGGTTTAGGGTTTGCGGTCGGGAAGAAGCAGATTGGCACTCTTTGTCCCCAGAACAGGAGGCTTAAGAGTTTAGAGTCTAGGGTTTAGGGTTTAGGGTTTAGGGTTTAGGGTTTAGGGTTTGCGATCAGGAAGAAGCAGAGTGGCACTCTTTGCCTCCAGAAGAAAGGCCTTTAAATTTTCTTCCAAAAAAATATTCTTCTTTAAGAAGAGTTCCAGTTTATGCGCAGCTCGTCATGGAACGGTAAACCCTAAACCCTAAACCGTAAACCCTAAACCCTAAGCCCC